GAATTTCAGCAGCCCTGACACCCAGGTGGAGGGCTCTCTGACAATCCTGCTCTCACCATTTTTCCCCAAATTGGCTGTGGATTTACTGTTTGCAGGAATAACTCCAACACCTGCAGCTGCCAGTGAGTGTCAGTACATGAACACAGACACTGACACACACCCTCAGAGGTGTACATTTTCAACTATATGAAAACATCCAATAAACTTAAACAATCCAATAAACTTAAACAATAAACTTAAACTTTAAACTTCTTAAAATCAAACACTGAGCTCACAAATACTCAGTTGTAAGGTGGGTGGTACCACCGTGGATTTCCCAACAGCTCCTTTGGCCGAGAACCATTTTCACAAAGGAAGCAAATGGAAAGAGGGCTGTTCTGAAATGGTAAAGCCAGGGATGGCTCTCAGCACAGAAGCTGGTGGGGGCAGCAGGGAAGCCCAGCCAGGAGGGGGGTTACCTTGTCCATGCTGGCCTGGTTCAGCCTCATGATGGAGGCGTGGGCCAGCCGGTCGTACACCGTCCTCAGGGCCTTCTTGGAGTACAGCTCCTGGGGCTTGAACAGCTCCTCCATGAACTTCCTGTTGAACATGGTGCTGATGATGTCGTTCATCACTGCAAAGACAAGGAGGCTCCGTTGTTTGCTTCCCCCCACCCCTGGGGTCCAGCTCAGCTGGGAGAGCAGGGGCAGGGCACAGGAGAGGGGACAGCACCTCCCAGTCCCACACTGCCTGGGCCCTGCTGGGCTGAGCCCGCTGCCATTCCTGGGGCACAAACCACCTGGGCTGAAGGCAGCACTCCCTGCTTCCCAGGGGCAACAAGGCTGGCTTTGCTGCCCTGGTTTTACAGCTGTGCTTGATACTTTTCACTTGTAAATAATGTTGTTTAGAGGCTGCTCTGACACGTTATTATCTAGAAAAGCTCCAGTTCTGCCTCCTAAGGCAACTATTCTGCATCACTCTTGAGCTCTGCAGACTGCAGCTGTGCCTGTTCCCCTCTGACACTGCCAGTCTATCTTTTCTCTCAGCAGAAGCTCCTGGATGACTCAGGGCTCTCTGTAGCCTTTATTCCAAACAGATTAAAACTGGCAGGTATTTAAGGAAGCATTTATATCCCTGGGATCTATGTCAGCCCATTCAGGGCTCTCACAGCTGCAACACCTGCAGGCACTGAGTGGCTCAAAGGCAGAACTCCAAACCTCCTTATGTGTGGTTCATGTTTTATGTGTAAATTTGGACCTGGAACTGTTTTGTGACTCACTGAAGAGTTTGTAGAGCTCAGGAGTGCTGAGTGTGAGGGCTGTGCTCTGGATATCCAGCTTTTAATGCACAGAAAATGGAAAACATTTTGCACTGGTTCAAGCAGATGCAGCATCTGAGCTTCTGTGCTGGATTGGACATTTTATTATCTCCCTGACAGACTCTGCAGAGTTATCACCAATAAACATTTGTTTCTCTGCCAAAAGAATGGTAAATGAAAATGCCAGGCCACACAGATTACTGGACAAGCAAGGATTTTCCTAAGCAGGTGACTGTTATTGAAGCCCACAATGCCAGGCAATCCTTGGGGATTAGAAAAATCTCAGAACAAGTAATAAAAAGAAAAGGAAAAAGAAAAAAAGTGAACACAGAGACAGTGGTGGTGATCAGTGCTCTGAACTGCTGCCCTAATGATTCCCTGGGGGGTCAGACTCATGGCTTTTCACACCTGCCCTACACCAACAGAAAGGTCATGTCCCTGTCACTCCACCTCTTCCAACAGGATTAACTCCCTGGGAACATTGCTGGGAATGCTGGGAGCCTGGGCAGGGGCAGTTGTGAGGGCAGGGGCCTCCAGAGGTGACTCTCTGCCCTCCCTAAACCTGCTGGTCACAGGCTCCTCCTGCACTGGTCACACACAGCCCAGCAGCTGACAGGGCTCACTAGTCCAGGTTTAAGTACCCAAAGTACCTGAGCAGTGGGTTATAAATACACCTAAGCACAAAGAGGAAAAAAAATCCCTTCTTCCTCCCTTCCTTTCTAATAAACTGTCCATAAAACAATCCCTACTTGCAATCTGAGGCAGAAATCCTTGCCGTTTCAGGGAGAAAATCAAATATTATTAGTATCTATTTCATTTTGAAAGGAATCAATTACAAAAACAAATAAGAACTTTAGCCTTATACAGCTATCAAGGAAAGCATTTTTAAGCTGCTTGTGTGTGCTGCCCACACAAAGGCTTCTCCTGTCTTTGCAGAGTCACAAATAACCCAGAACACCACCAGGAGACAGACACCTCCCAGTATGGTGATTTATCAATGGAACTGAAGCTCTGTGTGAACCACACACCCAGTCTGACATAAATTATCTTCTAGAATTAAAACCCCTTGTGTGGGCTATAAAAAGAACCGAGAAAGACATAAAAGAAATCACAGTAAAGGGCAAATCTCACACAGTTTGATGATAAATCTGTCCCATGGTCACTAATGACACAGCAAAGACCCCAGAGAGGCCCTGGGGAGCTGCACACACCAGTGTGGCCATGGCAGGGGACACTGCAGGGCCCAGGACATGGCACAAGCAACACAGCAAAAAGCAACTGAGCAGAGAGGGGGGGCATCCACTGGGGTGGGAGGAGGGAAACCAGTACAGCAACCAGGCAACCCCTCGTTGCTTTGGGTGGGACAATATGGAGCATGTCATGAGACTTCTGAGATATTAAAGGCTGGAAAGGGGTGTTCTTGGAAACAGGATGCAATGGTAGCAAAAATAAGCTGGGGCAAACCCCAGGATATCAGTGTTTACCTGCAGTAAACATTAAACCCTGCCACAGGTGCTTATTTTGAAAAACATGAACCATAACCCTGATCTCTGGTAAGAAAGGGCTGCTCAGAAGGCCCCTGGGAGTTCTGCTCGTGCTCACTTAGCAAAAACCTGAGATTCAAGAGGTTCATTTCCTCACCCAGCTCTTCAGCACAGCCCTTGCTGGAGGCTCCTGTTCCAGGCAGATTCCAGAGGGAAACCTGTTCACAGCTCAGCTGCTCCCCTGCAACACCCTCGGGCTCAGTCCCACCCTGGGGATCATCCCAGGCAGGAGGAGCTCAGCTGAGGGGCACCTGCTCCTTTGGGATCACCCTTTGGGAGCACCAGCACGGGCTGGGAAGGAGAAAGATGGGAATGCCTTCAACCTTCCCTGGAGCTCACCTGTCCAAACCCTGAGTGGTGAGTTAGACAAGGCCTTGGAAAAATGGAGCTTGCCCAATATTCCTGCATTTCAGCAGACAAACAACCCCCACACTGCTCACACATTGCATGCTTGCATCAAAACAATGCCAGGGAAACACAGACTATTTTGACAGGAAAGACCATTCAGATAGTAAGTTTTGATCCATTTATAGTCTCTGTTAAACCAACAACTGATTTTTGAGGCCGTGTGATTCTGAGACGTTGCCTGTTTTCTCTCAAGGTGCATTCTGAGGCCCAGGTGAGCATCCCTGGGGATCTGTGACCCTGCCTGAAGGCTGCAGGAGCAGCCCCGGGGGTCAGGCAGGACGAGCCCCAGGTGAGCCCGTGGGGTTGGACTGGTGCATGCAGCCAGCAGTTACTGTACCTCGTTTCCTGTCCACATCTGTCCATTCATCTACACGAAGCATAAAACAAAACAGCATTCGAGACGTGAGAACAAGAGTTGCAAGGAGAAGAAAAGAAATAAACTAAAAAAAAAAATAAAAGAGGAAAAAAAAAAGAAAAAGAAAAGCTAACTAATGGATTTTTGTCTCTTCTCATCAGCATGTGGCACTGGAGAATCCTGCCCTCCCCTTGGATAAAATCCTGCTGCTTCAAAGCACATCAAATTTTACCCTTTGCACAGAGCTTGGGAAGTTTTCGGTTGCATTTTTAAGTGAACAATATTTGAGTGAACAGCTTTAAGCACTAACAAACACTCTGGTGTGGACAAACCACATCTCAGTGAAATTAACACCCAGTTTTTGGGAAGATAAATATCCATGTGTGGATAAACTAGAACAGACCCAGTTCTCCTGCTGAGATACTCCGCCAAGATGTAATTTAGTTTGAACTCCAAACTCAGCCCTGTATGAACAGCAGTAAACTTTTGTCAGATCATTCTCTCAGGACACACCATAAATAAATAATAACAAATTGCCCCCTCACAATAATATGATAATTAAACAGTGAACCCTTTGTTGTTTGGCACTTCATACAGGACAGGCAAAGGGATAAACATAACAACCTCTTCAATACCGGGCTCAAACCCAGTTGATTTTTTATTAAAGCATCCCAAAGCTTCCCCAGGCACATTCCCCATCCCACGACAGGGAGCTGCAAGGACTTGTAAAGCAAAGCTGTAGTAATTTAAAGTGGAAACCAAAGAGGTGCTGGGCTGTGAGCTGGAGTTTGGTGCCACAAATGAAGGCACAGGGCTGCACAAGGATTTTGGCCAAATGCTGCTTGAGAGATCGTATAAAAACCAGACAAGGGTTTCGGGAGCCGGGCTCGTGTTATTTGAATTCAATAAAATTTCATATCCTGCTTCTGCACAGG